CAAAACTGAATCGTGTTTGAAATGTTTCTAGTGAAGGTATTAGTTTATTCCTCAAATTGAAGTCTATAGTTTCCAGTAGAAAAACACATCGTCATTTTCACAATAATTATACAGTACCTATATGTCTAAGAAACATCTGGAAAACTTTTTTATTCTCAACCGTAAATGCAAATATCAGATCACATCTTTTCATGGAAAAAATATCAATTTTGCTCAAGAGTTAAGTAGAGTCAGATGCGCTAACAGCATCCAACCGTGACATGCTATTTGCATTCGACTGTACCTTCATTTTCGACAATATTGAAAATTGTTATAGGGAAAAGTTGACGGAATTAGAAAACTACATTCAAATATCAAATCATACTGGGTGATTCAGGGTGAATGGCACATTAGACGGTTCTGCAGAACGCAACTGAAAAGTTGATGCCTTGGGTAATTAGTTGTGTTCTATCGACCTAAAATATTCTCAGTGTTGCGACGTTGCCGCTTATATTGAAAAGTAGCAACAACTTCCATCCTGAAGAGCTGATTCCATCGATCTATCACACTTGGGGTCTAGCGGGAATGATAACAAAGATATAGGGTGTGAAAATCGAAATTTTTCAACTTTAAGAATTTTTTGTGTCGAAACTATTCATGATTGATCAAAACGGTTTTCATGTCCCTATCTTAACTTTTCATGTAATATCAATTGATATATAATTGAAATAGATACAGGGTAGTCAAATAAGCAGCAACGTCGATAGAACACAACTAATTATCCAAGGCACCAACTTTCCAGAATTATCCTGAGTTGCGTTCTCCAGAAACGTCTAATGTGCCATCCACCGTGAATCACCCTGTATAAGGCTCCATGAAAAATTCCCAATTCTCATGATTCGCACTTGTGATATTGCATTTTAATTTTTATCTGTATAACCACAACGTTAAACCCGGTTAGAGTATTTTGGAAGAGGTGGTGGGAGGCAACTACGTCATAATGACGTCAACATTAACTATTTTTCCATTATATCCTCCATTTTTCACATTAATCAATTGTAAACAAATATTCAAGTTTAAGTTTAATCACCTTCACCAACTATGGAGTTGGTAAACCCTGGGACAGGTAGGTGAGGTGTACCCAAACGGAAATGACGTCACGGTTAAAGCAATGAAATGGGATTATCAGCTTTATCCATGACGGGTAATTAATGTGAATGAAATATCATAGCTCGCTCAAAAAACATATGCCTGTGGTAGGGATGCCGATTCTAAAGTCGATTTTTCAGAGATCGATCTTTTTCGCCAAAAAAAATCAATTATTTAATCGATTTTTTCAAAAACATGCAATTCATCGAATCGATTATTTTTTTACGAAGATCGATCTCGAACTCGTTATGACTGAAAAAAATTAATAGTTTTGTTCCTAATGTTTCTTCGTTATTGGGAATTTATGTTTATATTTTATCATTTTTCATAAAGTTTCAATACTTTTTTGTTGCATTCATGATAATTTTCCTCAAGTTATCTCGTAATGATACCGAATCTGAAGAAAAACAGTTTTATTTCAAATTTTGCGCTGTTTGTAAGGTGAATCGATTTTTGAAAATCGATTAATTTTCACCTCGATCTTTTTATCGATTTTTTGAGTTCCGATTCGAATCGATTCAAAAATCGATTTATTTTTGAAAAAATCGGAATCCCTAGCCTGTGGCAACACTGAAAATGAAGTTAAGGTTCCCCTCTCCTCTTTGGTAAGGTAAGGAAAGACTGTCATGTGCACATCAATAAAAGGACATAGTCTCGTACAGGGTATCTTTCGCTTCCATTCTCTTGGAGAAGAAGAGCTTCATCAGGAAAAGATGTATATTTGGTAAGCAAGAAACTTTCTAAAATAAAACCTTATTATTTCTTGCTGTTTGGTAGTAAAAATATGCTACAGGAAGCACTCGAGGAAGCAATAACATCAGGTAGGATGTAGTTATTCATAAAAAATATATAATTATTTGTTATCTCACTTTAAATTACAATTCAAAAGTTTACCGATTGGCCCAAAACAAAAAATACAATCGTTTTTAGACATTAAGAACACAATTATCATAAACACATTGTTGCCTGAGCTGGTACATTTGTATATATTCAGTACAATTCATACTCTCTAGTACATAAGCAATAAGTACATTTCACCCAACATTTCACCTAATTCTGGTACAATTTCATGTTTTGGTCAGTACATTCAGCTCAAGTTTAGTACACTTGAACATTTATTACACAAAACGAGAAATAAAAACAAAAGTGTGAATGACTGGCAGATCATCTGCTTATTATCTCTTCAGTTGGCCTGACGGAGCTGCTTATGGATATCACCCAACCAGCTGGCTGACCATAATAGGTCGCGTGCACGATGACCGACCCTGGAGGCAAAATATTGAAACACAACCTCACTCTTCTGTGAATTATTGAAACACAACCTCACTTTTTTATTCGTTTACAGAGGAATCGAAAGATTGAAATAGTTTTTCACAATATTTTGGCATACGAATCGTGTTTCTTTCGCTATTCATTAATTCAAGCATGTCTTCGCATTGTGCTGTTGTACAATGCACAAAAAATGCAGCAAGAGACTAAGAAATATGATTTTTTAGGTAAATAGTAATCTCACATAGTTATCATTATGAAATGTTGCCATTCCTTATTAAAATTCCTTCTGCCTTCTGCCACTTCTGCAATACAAGCTAATACGTACTGGCTAATAGATTGAAAATGTCTACAACACACACACACACGATCGTCAGCATGTCAGACCAGTCCTCCCGATTGATTGCATGAATCCAATCTTCTTGCATTATTTTAGAAATTTCAGGTGTATTTGTATTAGCTCCTATTGCAGAAGGAATTTCGATGAGAATGCAGAGAAATAACCAAATTTTAATAATGAAAACTATATGTGAGTAAGTATATAGTACAGGTACTTACTTTTAAATCATAATATACCATCCGGATTCCTTCATCTTCCGCTGCAGTTTTTGTGCATTTTACAACAGCACAATGTGATGGCATGAGCGAATTGATGAATAGCGGAAAAATACGATTCGTATGCCAAAATAATTGTGGAAAACTATTTCGATCACTTGTAAACAAATAAGGAGAGTGAGGTTGTGTTTCAATGTTGTGCCTCCAGCGTCGGTCATCTGACAGTTCTTGCACGCGACCCATGAGAGACATCATCAACTTCAACTGTCACTACTGTCAGTACAGTACTGTTTCCTGATGGTTTTTCAAATATTTGATGTACAGTCATGTTCTATTATGGATGATGCTGCATATATTGTGTATCTTTTTAGCTATTATTTGAGGATGTCACATGGGAAATGTTTTTTCTGATTTTTCTTCATATTTCAATGAAGCTAGTCATTTTTTATGGATGACACTGAATATGTTTTGTATCTTTTTGGCTACGTACTTGATGTGACATTTTTCATTTCATTCAATTTTTCCACACTTTTTTATATATGATGAAGTCATTTCTGACAATGAGAAATAAAAATTATCGTTCATCGATTTTCTCATCGATTTTTTCAATATTCCATGTCTGGTACATTCCAGTCGATTTTAGTACAATTCAATAGTGATTTCAGTACAATTAGCTTTTTTTTCTTCTGGCAACACTGCATAAACATCTACTGGCAATGGCGTCGATAAGGGGGTGGGGTAAAGGGGGTAATTACCCGCCCTCCCCAGAATGATAAAGAAATAAATAGAAAATCATTATATTTTCGATACTAATAATAGACGTTTGTCCAAAGAAGTTCAGTTTTCTTTCTAATTTTAAATATACAGGATCGTGTTTCAGGTTTTAAGGTACAAACTGAAATGCGTGATAGATCTCATCATTTTGATCAAAAAATTGTGTATAAATATGTGTCCGTGTCAAAATTCTATTTTTTTTTTCTGTTATTTGAAATATCTCGCTCACTTCTGAAGATATTTGAAATTAATATGAAGCATTTGATGAATTTTGAAAATCCACAGGGTGATCCGTTTTGAAGGGTAGAGGTTTCTTTATTCCCCCCAAGGTTTTTCGTAATACGCCTCTGACATCTTCGAGTTACCAAATAGGGTGGATTATTCAATTTGAAGACTATCTGCATCCCAATTTTTTTAGAGAAACCCGCCGTTCTCGATATATATAAGCTAATAAAATGTACCAAATTCCAATCTGAGTCAGTATCGGGGATATAGAGCGTAGAATATATCAGGTCACTTATAACCGACCAATCCAAGGGCGACGCGGAAAATTCGTGTTAAGTCACTGCATGGTTAAGGCCCATCCACTTGTATCCATATTCCTCATCCAATATATCATTTGAAAAAATCGAAAAAATTAAATAGCATTCAACTTGTCGGGGAAAATCTCCTGGGAATGTGATTTATTTGCGTTTTCCATTATTTGTCAACTACTTTTGCCCAAGAATAAAATTTGGGAGAAAAATATAGATAATAATGTTTCAGAACGGATGTGCTTATTTATCTTGAAAACGGTTCGTTTCTAAGAAAAATTATAAAGCAAAAAAGCCCCTAATTGGAAGATCCACCTTTTTGGTTTTGGTAACTGGAAAATGTCAAATGGGTACTATGGGTAAAGTTTGGGGGGATGAAGAAGCTGTACCTCCAAAAACGTATCACTCTGTAGATTTAAAAAAATCTCTAGAATGCTTGAAATGATGAATTCCTAGAAAGTATTGATCACACCAAATTTCAAATTGATATCTTCAAAAGTGAGTGTGATAGACACTAACGGCAAGTTGTTTTTCTAGGTTGGTTGGACATATACCTAGTATATAAGTAGCACAATAAAATAGTTTTATTCTTCTTCTGAAGATGCTAACATAGTTAGCAAAACATGTGTCTATGCCTATAAAAATTTATTTGGTTAGTGGTAAAACAGTGTAGGAATCCACAAAAAATCAAGAACAAGCTACCTATCTCAGAATTCTCAAAATATAATATTCCACTCATCTTTATATCAAAGACAAAAAAAAATCAGATTCCTCTGAATTTGGTTCATTTCTTGAAGAACAATTCACATCTTCGAAAATATCAGACATTAGTTCTTTTTTCTTATTAGCCAACTGACTTTGATGATTTTCTTCTTCATCTGCCTCAGGTGTTTTATCCTCATTTATGATAGACAGGATAATATCATGTTCATTCAATACTTTGGTAACATTCAGTTCATCTCCCAAATCTTGTATACTATTATCATGTGATTCAAGTACATCATGGGGGATATTATCAGACAATATTTCTTCTTGTGTCACTTCAGATACACTACTAATATTCTCAAATCTATCTTCTTCATTTTCCATATTGAAATCAACATTTTCTGATTCCACATTAACTTCACTTTTAATTTTTTTCGTCCTTTTTTCTTGTTTTAACTTCTCACTATCATAATTTTTATTTTTGTTTATGATTTTTGATTCTCGTTTCCTCTTTTGCTTTATATTAGTGACATTTTGATTCAATCCATTAGCATCTGCCCAAGAAGATAATTTTCTTATGTAATCTAGATTTTCCATTTCAGAAGGCCTACAGAAGTTTTTACTATATTTCCATGTGAGTGTTAACCACCAGGGATGATAATTATCACACAAATTGGAAAAGTTGTCATTATCATCATTATAAAAATCATTTAGTTTACCAAAGAATCCTGAATTGGACCAGTTCATCATTGTCCACTGCAATTTTTGATCTGGGTGGATATAAAAATTTCTTGAAGATAGCCCAATATTGAATTCTCCTTGCAATTTCCTGACAATCAATTTAGTGGCTATTTTATCAAAGTGATCCATAACCACAGCAAAAAATGAGTAATCAATCAAAGCCTCTGCTAATTTCATTTCTTGATAAGGTAAAAGTAGTACCAGCCCATGTTCTTCATCAAAATCTGCTGGGCATGTTTTTGGACCTATTATTTGAACCCTTAAATTGCCATGCACTCTCAAATGATAATGCCACTTTATGATATCTTCATCTGATGTTAGTACTAGTACAAGAAATTTTTGTTCTATATTATGAAATATTTTATTCAAGAATATTGAAACTTGAAAACAACTGTTGAATCCATCTTCTTCATTCAGGATAGCACCTTTGAACTGTTTGATATAATTTTGATATAAAAAGTCTACTACTAAAATGTCTTGAAGCTTCAAGTATTCCTTGATTTGTGCAGATATATATGTATCACATTTTTCACCAGCGTAATCACGTCCATGAGGGCAATTGAACTTCCAGGATGAATCAATATTCTGGGAAAAACGAATCATTACAGATTGATTTCTTCTCAGATCTTTCTATAATGATATTTCTGTTATTTGCCTTTGTTGTTCTTGTTCATTTCACATTAGATAGGGCAAAAGGGTGAGCATAGGGCTTTCAAGTTTCACTTGGTTAATAGTGACGTCAATATGTCAACACATACAGTGTTGCCAGTTGAAAGGAAATGACTGAATGACCAACCGCCCGAATATGGATATGTCTAGTGTTACGATCGTCGGACGTTATAATGTTTTTTGGAACCAACTCAAAAGCCGTCCATTTATGTTTCAAAATCAGCATTTGAAGTTGATAAATGAACTTCAATATTTGTATTTAATGAACCATGAACCTAAACAATAAACTGAATATGAAATTCAATGTTAATTAAATTCTTAGAAAGAATAATAACTTGAAGAATGATTCATTATATAACATCAACAAACAATCACAGATATTGAATCTAATCGATTCGAATGTTTTTCAATTACTATTAATTGGTGAAATGGAATAGAAATTCGATCAATTGATTTTATTTCGTGAGAAAATAAATAGTGGTGCATCTACTTATATTGGAAATTATGAAATAGATAACAAGAGTTGTTCTTACTTCAATATTCTCAATATAATTCATAAGAAAATCCACAGAAACTCATGGAACCACTTTGTCATTACAATAAACCTACACTATATAAAACAATTTTCTATCCCTGAAAATGGGTTTTTCTCGGTTTTTCTCTTTGTTTGTTCTTTTTGGGACCATGTTCCTGTTTGGCAGATATCCTCCATACAGTAGCAATACTTATTTTTAATGCAGCAGCTACTCTCTGTAATTCAGACAAATCATATTCGGATCATTCGGACAACACAAAATATCATTATTAATACCATCATTCAACTTACCTCTCTCACAGCAGTCAATGGAAGTAATGAGCCATCGTTATCACGTTCTTTTTTGGAAATATTGTATCAATGATACCACCATCTTCTGTGCCTCCGCACTCAATGGTTTAGGCATTTTGAATAAATCGAATTGCACCTCTATGATCCACAAATAAATCACAAACAATTTCTTGAAAGTACAAATTGTTAGTAATGAACGATTCCCAGAGAACAGCTGATCACAACAAATCGCTTCTATAAATGTCAAATAAATCTGGCATCGGTGTACAGATTTGCCAACTTAAATCGATAACGCGGTTTACTAGTATTTTTCGATGTGCAGTTTTGGCAACTATCAACCCAGCGTGAAAGCCCTTTACCTTTGCACTAGCGTCTATTATATCTAGCTAGACCAGCGAATCTTTCAAACCTCAAGGTTACCAGATGGTTAGTCTAATTCGCTAACGGAGGAGCCGAATCCGAACGACAGCAATCAATGATGCCAAGTGATGCACGTTTGTTATTGTTGATTATTGTTAGTGGTACTTTTATTCTCGATGTCTTTCATGTTTTGACCTCCGAAGTGGCCTCCTTCAGATGGGATATTTCTTTCGGTCGCGCCTGATGCGTGATCCGATTTCGACAAGAATTCGACTGAAGCGCTCTCGTTGTCATTCTCGCGTATGCAGTGAATTCATATACCCAAACGGTCTACTGGTTAGCGCTGTCAAATCTCAACAACAAGAACACTGTTATGGTCATGATGGACGCAATGGATGGACGTAGAAAAGGCATTCGACGCCGTCTGGCACGAGGGTCTAATGTCCAAATTGCATAAGGCTAGGATGCCGATTTTTATCATTGAGATCATCGATGCATATATCACCAACAGGAAAATCCGGGTCAAGGTCAACGAAAAACGGAGATTTTCCACTCGAGGCAGGTGTTCCGCAGGGGTAGTGCCTCTCACCTCTATTGTATACCCTATATACACGCATGATTTTCCTGTATTCGAGCGGACGAGTACAGCATTGTACTTTGACGAGTCAAAGAAAGACAGAAGTCATCAACTTCCACAAGAAAGTCATTAATTCCAGACTGAGCAGACCTCTGACCGTCAAAGGGGTTGAGGTGGCAGACACTAGGGTCCCTTGATGGAAATTGACATTGAAGTCATCTTAACAGGGTACGGACAGATCATAGCTGCATTCTTTTTTAATGATCTAGAGACTTTAGTTTTGTCTACTGGCATCCCTGACATTGCTGTCACGTCACATCCATGGGCGCTACAGAAAATCATTCGAAATTTTAATAATAGGTATGTACAGGGTATTTAATTGTTGAGGAAGATCATATGGCGAACAAGTTTTGTGATGAAGATACGATTCTATTCAAAATTGATATCTGAGGGTTTTCGAGGTAAGAGATAATGATTGTTTCGTCAAAATTAGAAAATCCAAGGTGACGACGGATCCAATATGGCGAAAGACATTAGTTTATATAATTACTACTCTATCACAAATAGAAAATATGTAGGATGCAAGAGTGAAAATAACGTGCCTATAAGTTATACTGCGTATACCTACTTGTTTGTTACTTTCATCAATAAATTATTCAAAAATGACTTTTTATTTAAGGAAGACGGAAGAATCATATGTAAAACATGGGAGTGAAGTAAATTCTATTCTCAATTTCCCTGCACATTTTACGTATTACTTTTTATCAGCCTTCTTTTCGTCCTAGACGAAGTTCTATACATAGTTTATATTAGTCACTCCATAAATTCTTAGAGTTGGATTTCCGAAAATATATTTAGCACACATTACATGAGTACTAGTTTAGATATTCACATCGAGGTTTTCACCATTTCTCAATCATAAGGGTCAGCTCATTCAGCTCATAGATATAAACTACTGCTCAGTTTGAAATCAGAATTCATTCAGTCAATGCCGGAGTATAGTAAACTCAAAAACTAAAGGATTGTTCATCTATATTTTGGTATAGTTGAATCAGGAATTCCATATGGAAATTACGTATGATACGCCAGTGACCTCAATATAACCTAAAAAACAACAAATGCCAAAAATCTAGTGTTTATCCCCAGAAATGAATAAAGATGGAACTATATAACTGTTTCACAAACACTTTAGAGTGAGAGGAGACGAGGATCTGTCCGTACCCTGTTAAGATGACAAATACGTCAGTTTACATCAAGGGACCCTAGCAGACACGACTACCGTGAAATACCTGGGAGTCAAATTGGACACCCGTATGAGTCTCAGGAAAAACACCAACTAGTTGATACAAAAAACGAAATCCAGATCCTTGCCGGTCGTTGGTGGTATATTGCCTAAGCCGAAGTTACATATTTACCTGGGAAGACAAATTAAAAAGCATTTGCATCGAAGTTTAGAAGCCCAAACCACAACATACGTATCCTTTCAGGATAAATAATAGAATTCGCCTATAACTTTGATATTTACTAACATTGTATTTCTTAGAGAGAAGCAGCGACTTGGAATTTTATAGTCTGCCGACCTTTCAGGCAACTATAAGGCCCCAAAGCCCAGCAGTTAGATTTTGTCTGCGAGTCTAAGTGTGGAAAGCAAGGTACGGCAAAGACAGCACTCGATAACTCACTTTGAGTTATAAGAGACTGCTTTTAACCGTAGTGCCCCTTCACAAGGGTTTCCACATTAAGACTCGGCCTGATCCGAGCCTAGCAGTAACGGTAAGCGAACAAAACACCCCATCCCTCAATATATATAGAATACACGGAAACACAAACTTTTTGTTGGGTAGTAGCCATGAGTGGCGAAAACCAGTTATAAAAAAAAGTGCTTGGACGTTGTCACAAAACCAAAAATATAATAATTATCAACATAATCAATAAATAATGAAATATCATCATGCCGTCGGACGATGAAAACCGCAGGAGTCGGAGCGAGTATAGAAGAACTAGCTTAACAACTCCCAGCGAGGAGGAAATCAAAAAATTTAAAAGAAAACTCAGAGAGGAAAAAGCTCGCGAAGCCGCCCGGGAAGAGAAAATGAATACCTTGAAAGAAAGAGCCCAAGCAGCTGAAAACGAACGCTTGGTTTAAATAAATAAAACGCGAGATGCTGAAAATCGCGCTAAAGCCCTTCAAGATCAGCTCTTTCAAGCTAACAGAGAAAATCGATCGTTTGACACAAACGATCCAGGATCTGCAGAAAAAACTGCAGCCAAAGCCCCTCCCCCTTACGAAACTACCAATAGTAGCTAGTAAGAAGGAAGGCACCGGTACGGGCGAGAAAGCTGAAAATCAGAAAACTCCAACTCCAAATATAATCCTAAAAACGGGAAAAACCTCACCCCAGGTGGAATCGCAAGCTGGTTTCT